GAAGAACAGTCGTGCTGACTGTAGGCAGGCGTTTTTATTATGAAATTATCCCTGGCATCTCCTTTCCAGCCCTGTTTGCCACCCACCCACCTCTCCTATTCAGCACACCTTCCACATTATTCTTTATCTCCTACTGGCTGCCTAGTATCATCTGCCAAAAATCACCAGAACAAACCTGTTTGCACTAGAGTCATGGCAGGTTTGTAAGTTTCCTCACCAGCATTATTTGAATTTTTTTAAGAATGCATCTGTAATTACAAAATTGAAGCTTCTAATGGACACCTTTATAAGCACCTGGCAGCCTATTAGGTATGCACAAGAGGATTTTTTTTTTCTTGTTGTTTTCAGCACTGGAAGAAATACATGATTACTTACTGGCTCATTTCATAATTCAAAATTAGCTATAAAATTCCAAGGAAACCGCATTTGATTTAAAAATGTTTTCTTTAACTTCTTGTGATAAAAAGAGAACAAGAATGAATTAATTTCTCTTCTTGTGAAGGACTCAATTTTTGCTAGGACACGAAAGATCTAAGATAGTGTTACCATTTTAAAATGCTGTTGCAGTTATGGGTAGACCCAGATAATAGCTCCGATGTAATCCCAGATTCCCACATTGAATTAAATCTGATTTGGGTTATTTAGGTCACATACTAACAAAGTGCCCTTTCTGTGTCATTTCTCTGTAAATGGTGGGTGTGCTTTAGCTTTCTCTATAATATACATTTATTTTTGGAGCTCATTAAACAGGTTAGGCAATTTAAATAGGTCTAGCCAGTAGGTAAGAGTTAAAGCTGAGAGGTTAGAAATAGTCTCTGTGGTATTATCTAACAACACAGGATGAGGGTCGTTTTTAATTCTTAGCTGCTACCTGCGACAGCTCTGAGAGCCATTTGAAAATCGGGTCTCAAAATCAGCTCTCCTCTTGAAATGGAAAACACTTTTCATTAATTTTTATATTGTTATTTCTTAAGAATATTAGTCTTTTTAAATACAAAACTCTGATAGTGAATACTGTCATTGTGTCCAGATGGGTGCAAGAATAAGGAAATTCTATTTTAAATAGTAGAGTCTAATTTGTTGTCCCCACAACCCCTCTCTTAACCCCCTGAGCCACAAATGCAGTTATAGTTTCTTCTTGATCTTAAATTGCTTTGAATGTTTTGGAAG